TAGATAGATAGATAGATAGATAGAATATATATATTCGTATATATAGAATATTTATTATAGAAATCTCTGGCCCATAAAAAATGATGTTTTATAAAAACATAGACACGTTGTCGAGGAACACTTAAAGTAACTAAAATAGCATAAGAATCGGTTCTACGGGTATTGATCGGCACTTCTAGGAGCTGGGGACATCCAAGATATCATAACGATGGAAAGCTCTAAAGCAGCGGTTTTCAACCCTTGGGTCACGACCCATTTTTGGGTCAAACGATTCTTTCAGAGGGGTCACCAAAGACCATCAATCAATCAATCAGGTGCCGTCTCCACAATGAAGGTTGGCTGCAATGGATCTCCAACAAGCCCTGTCTCTTGGCCTTGATGTACACTCACTCATACTGCTGTTCGTCCATCTCTTGATGTTATCCTCCCACTTGTAACGCTGTCTGCCTTTTGCATGCCTACCTTGAACCTTTCCCTCTAGGATGATCTTTACAATACTGTTATGTCTTTTAATGTGGCCAAAATATTTCACTTGTCTTTTTTATTTCACCTTGCAACTCTCTTTTCATTCCCAATTTCCACAGTACCTCTGTATTTGATAGCTTTTGTTTCCATGAAATACGACCTAATCTTCTGTATATCCACACGATTTTACAGTTGTTTGTTCATTGTCCATGTCTCTGTGCCATACAGTAAGGTTGAGAATACATAACATTTGACAATTCTCATTTTTAATGTATTGCTTATTTCTCTTGATGTCAGTAACTTTTGCATGTTGTTGAAAATGTTTTTGGCCATCCCTATTCTTGTCTTGACTTCTGTTTCACTTCTGCCGTCCCATGTTATTACTTGTCCAAGATATAAGAAATTTTTAACTTGTTCCAATTTCACCCCGTTCAATGTGATATTTATTGTTAGCTGATTATTTTCTTTGCTAAATATCATGGTTTTTGTCTTTTTCAAATTTATATCTAATCCAAATTCTGCACTCCTTCTGTTTACTTGCTCCACTAGGTCTTGCAACTCCTGCTCACTCTCAGCTAGCAACACTGTGTCGTCAGCATATCTCAGATTGTTTATTATTCTACCATTGATGTGCAGTCCTGGTAATTCTACAATTTCTTTAAAAATGGTTTCTGTACATAAGTTGAAAAGTCTAGGCGACAGCACACATCCTTGTCTTACTCCTCTCTTGATCTCTATCTGGGATGAGCAGATGTTGTCATATCTTACTGTTGCTTCTTGCTCCCAGTATAAGTTTCTTATAAGACTGACATCCTTTCTATCTAGTCCTATGATTTGAAGAGCTGCAATTAGTTGTTCATGTTGCACTCTGTCGAAAGCTTTTTTAATAATCTATAAAACATGCATAAATATTTTTCTGAACTTCTATATATTTTTCAGTCAGCATCTTTAGATAAATTATGGTCTCTCGAGTACCACTGTTTTTACGGAATCCAAATTGCTCTTTATAAACTTCTTTCTCTATTTTATCTTGAATTCTTGCTTGTATTATCTTCAAGAATAACTTAGTTACGTGACTCATTAGGCTAATAGTTCGGTAATCTTCACAATCAACAGCTTTTTATTTCTTGGGTAGTGTGATAAAAACAGATGTTTTCATGTCCCTAGGAATGTTCCCATAGTTACAAATGTCATTGCATATTTCTGTAATAGTATCAATTCCAAAAGTAGATAATGATTTTAACATTTCTGCAGTTATGTTGTCTGGATCTGCAGCTTTTCCCTGCTTTATCTGTTTAATGGCTTTCTCTACTTCAGACTTTAATATGTTTGGTCCCTCTTGAATATTATGGATTGGCGGTTTGTCACCTCTGTTGTCCCAAAACAGGTCTTCTGTGTATTCAGTATATCTTTTTATTATATCTTTCCTATCAACAATAATTTTTTCCATCCTTCCCCCTAATACAACCATTTCCTGTTAAATGTTTTTCCTTGTTTGTAAGTTTTTTTTATATTTGCATGTATTTCCTTGGTTCTGTGTTTTATTTCAAGATCCTCTATTTCTTTGCATTTTAACTGAATCCATGTTTCCTTGGCAGTTCTACACATATTTCGTATTTCTTTGTCTATTAATGAATATTCTGGAGTGTTTTTTGCTTTCTTCCTTTGTGTCATTTTGTTAATAATTTCCTCAGTCATCCATACTTGATTTTTCTTGTTTTCTTTCACTGGTAAGATGGCATTAGCTGTTTCTGTACTAGTTTTGAAACATTCCCATTTTGAATTAATTTTGTCCTCTGGATTCTTCCGTCGATATTGTTCCATGCTTTCAACTATTAATCTGTCATATTTATTTTTAACCTCTACTAGGTACTGCTGGCTTATTTCTGGCTGTTTCAAAGCTGATATGTCTATGTGGGGTGACCTTTGCGTTTTTAAGTTTAATTTGTATTTTCATTACCACAGGGTTGTGATCTGAATTTATATCCGCACCTGGGTATGTTTTGGCGTTCTTTATGTTGTTTTTGAATCTGTCTCTAATCATTACATAGTCAATTTGGTTTCTATTTATATCTCCTGATCCCATGCCAAATTGCCCTACAATATTTTGTGCTTCTTTTTCACCACTTTTGCATTCAGGTCTCCCATAACTATTAAGACCACTGATGGTTTTACAACTTTCAGTGTTTGGTGTAGTTCTTCACAATATTCTTCAAGCTGTTCATCACTGTAGTCAGTTGTTGGTGCATATGTCTGTATTACTGCAATATCAAAAGGTCTAGCCTTGATCTTGATCAATATAATTCTGTCATTGTGAGCTCAGAACCCGCTAATAAACTTCTCTGAATTTCTTTTTATCAAGAATCCTACTCCACGTTCATGATGTTCTCCTCCAGAATTATTAAATATGTAATCATCTCTCTTTAGGCAGCTAGCTTCTGTCCATCTTGTTTCTGATACTCCCAAAATATCTAAATTAATATTCTTTGCCTCAGAAATTAAACAGTCACATTTTCCGACTTGATATAACGTTCTAACATTCCATGTGCCAATGCGAAGACATCTCTTTCTACTTTTCAGATATGCGTTGTCAGAATGTGCCCTTTCAGAAGAATTTAAGGCGCACCTTAGTCAACAGTGGATTTGTCTCTTCCCATCAATCTGTTTGTATAAAGACCATCACAAACATATATTCATTGAATTTAGGAAGTTGCAACGAAATTATGTGTATGTTTGGGGGGTCGGCACAACATGAAGAAATGAATTAAAGGGTCGCGGCATTTGGACGGTTAAGAGCCACTGCTCCTAAGACACAACGCTGGAATTCAAACTCACCGCCTGTACATTACTGGAAGGGGGAAACCATCGTAAGTCACCACGTCTTTTACAGAACGTAAGGGCACAGCAAGCCTGAACGTCTCTCTTTCTCTAGACAGCCATCCAGCCCAATGTGCTCTCATAGCCAATGTATCTTCATTATCTTTTGTCCATATTCACGAAGGTCTGCCTGTGCCTCGTTTTCAGGAAACCCCCATCACCGTTCCCTCCAGACCATATTGATATGGACTAAATACAGGATGCTGTTAATAAGCCAATTCTCCTCGTTGCTCAGATCATGCTTGATGTTGCTGTTTTTCATATATAGATACAGACGTAACTATACACACAAACACATACACAGGGATGTAATTGTTTTATTTCTCGCTCCTTCTCTCTCTTTCTTCCGTTGTTTGTCTGCTTGTGAGTCTGTGTGTGTGTCTCTGTGTGTGTTTGTGTTTGTGTCTGTGTATGTATATATGTATGTATGTATGTATGTATGTATGTATGTATGTATGTATGTATGTATGTATGTATGTATGTATGTATGTATGTATGTATGTATGTATGTATGTAGGTATGTAGGTATGTAGGTATGTAGGTGTGTAGGTATGTATGTATGTATGTATGTATGTATGTATGTATGTATGTATGTATGTATGTATGTATGTATGTATGTATGTATGTATGTATGTATGTATGTATGTATGTATGTATGTGTGTGTGTGTGTGTGTGTGTGTGTGTGTGTGTGTGTGTGTGTGTGTGTGTGTGTGTGTGTGTGTGTGTGGGGGTGTGGGTGGGTGGGTGGGTGGGTGGGTGGGTGGGTGGGTGGGTGGGTGGATGGATGGATGGATGGATGGATGGATGGATGGATGGATGGATGGATGGATGGATGGATGGATGGATGGATGGATGGATGGATGGATGGATGGATGGATGGATGGATGGATGGATGGATGGATGGATGGATGGATGGATGGATGGATGGATGGATGGATGGATGGATGGATGGATGGATGGATGGATGGATGGATGGATGGATGTATGTATGTATGTATGTATGTATGTATGTATCTGTGTGTGTGTGTGCGTGCGTGAGTGCGTGCGTGCGTGTGTGTGTGTGTGTGTGTGTGTGTGTGTGGTGTGCGTGCGTGCGTGCGTGCGCTCGCGCACACCCGCACGCCCGCCTGTCTGTCTGTCAATCTGTGTGGGTGTGTGGGTGGGTGGGTGGGTGTGTGTTTTGTGTGTATGTATGTATGTATAGCCACATCTCTGTGCGATATTCGTTATCATCATCATCGTCATCATCATGAATTTTGCACCAATTCGTCAGCTGTTCATGGTACGGCATCTCACACGATCACAAGAATCGCTGATCGGGTCAATATTCTTGCCCAGTGTGCAAGCTACGGGATAACGCCATCCTTTTAATGTTCTCGTTGTCTTCTTTTCGATCCTATTTCATCAGGTGCCAGCTGTCACCAAATAATCGAATGTATTGTATTTCTCGTAAAGACATTCCTGTGCAGCAGTCTAACTTTAGCGTATCCAAAATGTGCTCTATTTCTTGTTGACAGTCACACCACGACCGGCTACAGATCCTACAACGTTCAAACCTGATGAGATGTTCCATACATTCACCCCTATCGTCTCATCCAGCACATCCACCAAAGATCTGACCAGTTCATCTACCGCCACCGGCACAATAGCAGCACAGAAAACAAGTGCAACAACTGATGTTACCAGCAAAAGCAGTACAACCTCGCCATCACCAACGACGGCCACCACTACAGAGCTGAAGACGACCACAACAACATCTTCAACTACTGAAATTCCTGTAGTGGTAACATTATCCACAACGGATACTACTAGTAAGTTAACAACCTCAGAAGCTACCACACAAACAACCACAGAAGCTACCACTTCAACTGCTACCACAACTGTAACTACAACAACAGAGAGTACTTCTGTTGCAACCACAGTATCGAAGACAGCTGCTCATGGGACTACTACCAAAGAAAGGTAAGAGCCATGTGGCTGCTGTTGTTTTCTTCTTTTTGTTTGTGCTGTCTATTTCCAGAATAGCTCAAACAAATGCAGCATTTAACCAAAATAAGAATATTTTATGCAATCTTACTTTGTCAATTGAGACGAGAAAGAGAATTCTTGAAAGCTATATAAATCCTATATTGATATACGGTTGTGAATCATAGACAGTTAGTAAAGAAGTGAAAACTTATTTCGAAGCTGCAGAGATGTGGTTTAATAGACGAATGATAAGAATACCCTGTACAGATAAAAAGAGTAACGAAGATGTCTTGAAAGAAACTGACTCACGAAGAGAACTGATTGCCCACATCAGAAAGAGACAATCGACATTCTTTGGTCATCTGATAAGAGGGAGCAAACCGGAGTACATCGTGACGGTAGGAAATTTGGAGGAGAGGAGAGGCAGAGGGAGACCGAGAGAACAGAAGCTGGTTGGTTTGATATCATAGCATGGAAGATCATCCTTGTCAGAGTTGAGTGAAAGTACACGAGACAGAAGGTTGTGGGTAGACATGACTACCAACGCCACAAGGCATGGACCATGAACTGTAAGAAGAAGATCTATTTCCCTTCGGGGACTAAAACCTGAAAGCGTGGCATCCATTGATTCAGAATCATATTTTGAAAGCTAATCTATTAGCATATATATATATATATATATATATATATATATATATATATATATATATATATATATATATATATATATATATATATATATATTGTTTTAGAGTTGAAAGGTACTGTGCTCATTTCTAAACGATGGACAATTTTATGTTAAACGTTTTTCGAGGATATCACATCCCTCTACCCTTTACCGGGGTAGTAAATTAGAGTCCCATGCTTCTTGAACGAGAAGTAAAAAAATCGCCTGATCTTTGTGCTCACGGGGTTGCTCTAAAGAAGCATTTTTTCGTAAAGAAGTGTTTAATTAAAGCACTTCCAAGCTATTGCAAGTTGTGCTTGTGTACCGTACCTCCAGTTCTGGGTATAAACAGAAAATAAAAGTCTGCATGCATTGGATGCCAATTACAACCACCATGCAGACAGCCAAGAAGATAGCGCAAGGGATAACAGGCGACGACGATCCCGAAGTATATCAAGCCCGATACGGTAAAGACAGATGGTACGCCTTAGTGAGGGCGAAAAAGCCGATTCCTCATTATGTGAATATGAGGAACCCACAGCTGCCCGGAGGCCGACATAAGCTCTGGATCACGGTGTCAGGAAGGTGTATGAACTGCCCACAGTGCGAGCAGACCGACCACTGGGCAAACAAGTGCCCAACAAGGAGAAGACGCTCTGAGCCAGTGACAACACTTATTCAGGAAGAGGACCATCAATCCCAGAAAGAGTTGGAAGTCAGTCAAAAGGAGGTTCTCATAACAAGCAGACAGTCCTCAGCAGAAGAGGAGGACACGCAGACCGGAAGCAAAAAGAAGAGAAAAGTCAAGAAAAGAAACCGCCAAAAAGTCAGCTCAGACGAGACGTCACCAGCAGCAACACCCCTGAAAAGAGATAACAAAGCCCACAAATAAGGAACTCCAGAAAAAACCAACAACGTTGACGCAGCTGCCGAGAAAGACCAGTCTTCATCCAGCTCAGAAGAGGAAGATACAGCGCCTCACCTTAAGGATATGATATGTCCAGAATGTGAGGCACATACAACTACATATTCCCATGCCAAGAATAAAATCCATTGTGTTCGGTGCCATCTGCTTCTAGCAAAGCCCTCAAGAATAGGAAGACAAGTAACGTACGCACAAGAATGCCTCGGAAGAGACAGAACAATCAAAGAAGACGGAATCATCTCTGGCTGCAGACAGTTGGAAAAATAAATGAGTGGAGTCCCCTCTCTCCTTATTTCCCCCGCCCCAGAACTATCACCTTTCTTCTTTTGTTTCGTTTTTTCCCCTTCAAAAAGAAAAATTTGAACGCACTCACAAACAACACAACAATAACACTCACAAACGGCAACGAATGTAAAACAGACTTACAAAAATATTAGCAACATACAAAACACACCACACACACACACACACACACACACACACACACACAAAATATCTGCCAGACGGTAGCCGTTGCATTTCTGATCCATTTGTAGACTGGAAGGATATAGTTTCGTCACCCAGTTTCTGAGTTGAGTGCATGGCGTGACACTGTGTTTTTACGTGTTTTTTCGTTGGCACAGAAGCGGAGCAACTATGGGGAGACCCGTTTGCTATAAGGCTGAAACTAGGATTACCAGGTTACCAGATATCTGTAAACATGTTTGGCTTGAAGATTTTGATCAATGGTTTGCAGTACTCGGATATCTCCACAATACCTCAGTCTGCTCCCAAATATTACACAATATTATGATTCTCACCGCAGAGAGTACTGCTGCGGAGTAGTGGTATCGATTACAAATGTTCAAGCTACACTGAAACACCTGCGATACCATTTTTAAGAAGCAGGGACACACCGTATTGTGATAACATCGCCCATTTTGCGCCTATGCCCCTTAGAAATATTGAATTAGCAGCAAATATCCATTGCTCCTGAAAGAGTGGAATAGTATTCTTTACCTCTTTAGAACTGACTATTAACATCTGTTGATGGGACAGACTTAGAGACATACACAATGAAACATTAATTCCCATTGTCAGTACATGTTGAAGCACATAATTCTACAGACAAACCACGAAATCGTAGTTACCAGGATGTTTGCCTGTCAACCCTGAAGTCGTAGGTTCGAGTCCCTAACAAGTAAACTATTAAAATAATCTTGACCCAGAAGTTGGTCGTGTCTAACAAAAACAAAAAAAAAAAAAAAAAAATTACTTACAGGAAATCTTATGGAAGATAGAGGTAGAATATTTATCACATTACAAATCGATGAGTACCGATTGGTATTAAAATGTGTTTTAATGTTTAACTAACTGTACCCGGCCACGCGCGTTGCTGTGGCTCAGTCTGGCTAAATGGAAAAAGAAAAACAGAAAATAGAAAACACTCGTGTTTAATATGGTTAATTTCGCAATCACGCAGATATAGAGATAGAGTGGTTTACCGACTCAAAAACACGAAACATATAACTGTGTGATCGTTTAAATGGTTATACGTTTATCACATGCTAAAGCTTTTTTTTTAATTTTTTTATTTTAAAGAGCTTGAAATAAAGCTTACTACTGTATTTCTAAACAACCAACAAATTTGCAACAACAACAGAAATTTAAAATTAGGAGAAAAACTGAAGCAGTGTTATTAAAATTAAAAAAAAAAAAACAAAAAAAAAAAAAACAAAAAAAAAAAAATACTTAAAAATCATGTTTTAAGCTCTTTCAGTTAACAGCTTCTGCCATCATAATGGTGATGAATATATGGAGATTAACGATTAGCAACAAACACATAACTATTCCGATTTAAATATATAAATATTTTTGTGGTTCTTTTTTTTAAAATCAGGATTTAACAACTTCTGTTTACCTTCTTTTTGTCTAAAACGCCTAATTTTAGGCTTTTTGTTTTTGTTTTTGTTTATTTAAGACATCTGATATTTTATTTCTTGCCTAACCAAACATATATAACTTTTACCCTACTAAATAAATATAAATGAAGACTGTTTGACTAGCAATGCAAAGATTAAACAGCATTAAAAGTCTGTGGTTAAGCACCGGTAAGGAAATCAAACATTAAAATGTTGAGAGCTTGCACCTTCCCTGTAGCAATCTACATATATTTAAGAAAGAAAATAGGGGTTTTTGAGCTGGAATACTATAGAAAAATTCTCAGTACGTCATGGACAAATAAGAGAAGAAATACTGACATCTTAAAAGATCTTAACAGCAAGGAAGACTGGCTAATAAACAGCATAATATCTCAGAAGATGAAATATTTTAGTTACATCGAGCGGCATGGCGGATTGGACAAAAATTATATCAGGTCACGGTACCAGGAAAGATGGGCAGGGGCGGACCAACACAAAGATGGGCACATGATATAGGTAACTCCTTAAAAATGAAATCACACGAAGTGGGAGAGCAGGCGAGAGGCTGAGTGAGTTTCTTTCAGGCGGACCGCGACGAGAGAGCTACGTTCTGCAAATGATCTGCTACCTGATGATAATGACTCCGCTGTGACTCCTTTCTGGCAAAAATGAAATCATAACCTGCATAGCTCATGGCGACTGCACTACTGTTCTTCCTTACGTCTAAGCCCCCTGCCCACAAGCACGCTTCATACTTTTAAAAGAAAAATATATAATTTTACTGGTTTAAAAAAAAAAAAAAAAAAAGACATCTAATATTTAACTACCTTTTCTCGTGTGTAAAGACAATTTTATATTTAAGCTCTTTTTAAAAAAAAACAAATTATCTCTTATATTACCCCTCGTTTGCTCAGACAAATATTTACTAGAGGGAAACAATTCTCTCATCCAAGTCACCTCACAGTGTAACTCGTGTTCGCCCAGATATCTCTTAGTTTAACACCAGCCGTTGTTACAACGTTCTTCTTCTATTTGAGCTCACAGTACACTGTGCTGAAGTTTACAACATGGACAAAATGTTTATGACTTTCGAGTTTAGTTTAGAAAAAAAAAAAAAACGTGACTGTTACAAACTAGTTTCCGTTTTCCTGGAAGAATGGTCATCTCATACTAACAACTTTTCCACGGTACTAACAAAGAGAAGTTCTCACAGAAGCAGGAAAACTTGCCTTTGAGGATCAAGTATAGAATCTGGTCTGCTGATTAATTTGTATTTATATTATAGTGCGATTCGACCGGGGTAAGAGACGTATGCTCCATTGAAGAAGCGGGTCGGGGTAGTAAAAAAATAGCGAGGAGAAGAATGAGAAATAATAATAATAATAATATTAATAATAACAATAATAATAAGAAACGTAGTAATAGGAGGAGGAGACGAAAAGAAGAAGAAGAGAAGAAGGAGAAGAAGAAGAAGAAGAAGAAGAAGAAGAAGAAGAAGAAGAAGAAGAAGAAGAAGAAGAAGAAGAAGAAGAAGAAAAAGAAGAAGAGGAAGAAGAAGAAGAAGAAGAAGAAGAAGAAAAAGAAAAAAAAAGAAGAAGAGGAAGAAGAAAAACAAGGAAGAAGAAGAAGAAGAAGAAGAAGAAGAAGAAGAAGAAGAAGAAGAAGAAGAAGAAGAAGAAGAAGAAGAAGAAGAAGAAAAACAAGGAAGAAGAAGAAAAAGAAGAAGAAGAAGAAAAACAAGGAAGAAGAAGAAGAAGAAGAAGAAGAAGAAGAAGAAGAAGAAGAAGAAGAAGAAGAAGAAGAAGAAGAAGAAGAAGAAGAAGAAGAAGAAGAAGAAGAAGAAGAAAAAAGAAAAAGAAGAAGAAAAAGAAGAAGTAAAGTGGATACAGTTTTTGTTTTTTGTTTTTTTAATGTAACAGGAAGGAGTAACAGCAATAGCAACAGCAGCCACAACCACAACAGCAGTAGTAAAAGAAGTCGATGATGATTAGGATTTGTTATGGTGAAGATAATGACGATGAAAAGGATGGTGATGATGATAACAATAAAAAATGATATAGTAAAATAAAGCAAACGACCGATTTCCCAAGTCGTAAAATGAAGCTGCTTGGAGCACACAAGCTAGCTTTCGTTGCAGAACAAACACCTAGTTAGTTGCGTATCTTTTAAAGGACGTTTCAGAACTAACCCCAGCATATTGTGTGTGTGTGTGGCCATTGTGATTTTTCTAGGCAAATTTTACGTTCAGTAGTTTGACATTGCTTTCTGGACGTCAGTTGTCGGTACCACTGTCGAAACCAACGCAGACAAGTCGTCTACAGCTGGGATCGAACCCTGCACCCCGGCATTACGTAGGCAAACAAATATCGGGACAGAAAAGTGGGATTTATGACTATTAACAAGACAATTAGGCTTTTCACAGCGACAGTTTAAAGTTGGTAGGCTTAAATAAAACCACATGTTGAAATGTGTGTGGTGGACTAATAGGTTGATTGGTAGTTGTGCCCCACCAGGACATCGCACAAGCGATAAACACCCGGTGACACAAGGTGATGATGACTATGATGAGTGGTGATGATGATGATGACGATGATGATTAATCATGATGGTGGTGGTAATGATGGTGACGATGATGTAGAATCATCACGAAGCAATTTTCCTAGCTCAAATCCATCTATAAGATGCGCTTATGACGTTCTAATTAATACCTCTTTTACCCGATCCCTTACAGCACCACGACATCATCAACAGACTTGACAACCCCCACACAAACAGCATCAAGCAGCAAACTAACCACCACCGAGACAACCCCTAGCACTGCTCCATCCACCACAACCCAATCTTCAAGCACAACCACTTCTCACCAGACAACAACAACAACCACAACCCAGCCTCCAAGAAGAATCCCTGAAGTCCGCAGACAACCAGCCGAAGACTGGGCTAAAGCCTATGAGAAGTTCCAAGGCTGTTATATTCCTAGTACAGGAGGCAGTCTGGAGGAAACAGTCAAAAATGCTAGGAACTTTTATAACACAACCCGCTGGTGCCCACCTGTGAGGGTTGGTAATCTGAAATGGAATGTCACAAGAGCAGGTCAGACTGGGAAAGCTACATGTGCTAGCGGAAATGGTAAGTGTTACCATCACCATTACCACACTATGATCATCCATGATTGTACCTGTATACGTCACACAATGATAGCAGTTTGTTCTCCCATAATATTATTTGTGAAATCCTTGTCAGCTCTGTACGCTTAGCTCATAATGTTACGTGCGCCTGGCTTTGCACGTTTCAAAAAACCAATCTTGGCCATCGTCATCATCATCATCATTATGATCATCATCATCAATATCATCATCATCATAAACCACTTCTGCCGTTAGGCGCCGTGAAGGCGAAACAATTGGCGATCCAGTGCATGCTGTCTGGCACTAGCTATTGTAATGCCGTGAAGGCGTAACGTGTCCTTAATGTTGTCGATCCATGTTTTGTGGCTGTCCTCTTGCTCTCATAGCTGATCTTATGAGATGTAGTGCTTTTGATATCATTTGATGTTCCTGCGTTCAAGAAAGATGGCCAGAGTACTTTATCTGCTGTTTCTCGGTGAATCTAGTACAAGGTGTCGTTCCCACATTTTGTCTGATTGTATCAAACCTGATCTCGAATAGTTAGGTTGGCGGCTTTTCTCAGGTACCTCATCTCATCAAATAGTGATTCTGCGTAAATGAGCCTTAGATAATGCCCATGTTTAGCACTAACAGCTCAGTCTGGGAGTGAATGTGCTGTTTACAAGCTGTTTCTTTGCACTCATAGTTATCAATATTTATAAGCGTCGTCCCCCTTATGGGCTGCAATTGTTAGATATTTTGAAGTCCCACCCTGGCTTTTGCCAGGGGCCCCTAAATATAGCCGGGGCTTAAAAATGGCCTAACTGCTAAACGGGATCTTCAGGACCTCTTCACGGGTGATCCTCATCCGCATGGTGGCACTTTGTAACACCATGCGTTTATCGCTTGTGTGATGTCCTGGTGGGGTACAATTTACCTACATACCTACCTACTCATAGTTATCTTTGGATGTCTTAATAATGGTGACAACTGGTATATAAGTGCTCTTGCTTTCTAACATCTGGTTTCTATTTCTCAGTCACTTCTGCCATCTTTCCGTGAACACATTTCAAAAACATTTTAATTCCCGAACTTGTTTGTGTCCAGAACATTTCAGCTGTAGCAATCTTCGTACAGTGTTTTATGTTTTTTAGTCAAGCGGTGTGCATTTAGTGAGTGTTATTATCACCACCAGCGTGTGCCCTGCCCGCTGCATATGCGCGCATGCCTCTTCACAGATCTCGGTCCTTGGCATTTTAAATCAGTTTCACGGATGATATCCCACAACGTCATCGCTTCAGACGGTCAAGCATCGTATCGCTTGTTCTGCCCCTGTCTCTTCTACTAATAATCTTTTCAGTTATGGCAGTGTTCTCCAATGCCCCTCTTCTCACTACATGACTGAAGAACACTGACTACCTGTTTCTTATAGCTGTATATATTTTTATAACGTAATTAGCCATTTCCAGACAATCGTTGTTGGTCTTTCTGTATGTCTACGGTATCCACAGCAGACGTCTCGGTAACCATCATCTCTACGGCCTCTAAGTTTGTTTTAATATTTGTTTCATTAACACTGCAAAATTCACAGCCAAACAGCAGCACAGATTCTATAAAACATTTCATAACTTTCTTATGTTTAATGATAGAGATATGTTGCATTAAAGTATTTTTCCTATTTTGACATGTCACCTTCACCTGGCATAACCTGTTCTTAAACTCTGTTACACATCTTCCATCAGATGTTAAAATGTCAGCAAATGTTTTAACTTGTTGACCTGCTTAAGCATTTTGCCCTCTTTTGTAATTTCACAATGTTTCTTTTTTGTCATAATCATTGTTTATGTCTTCTTGGTATTTAAAAAGATTCCGACACACTCCTTCTGTCTGCAACAATAGATAAATAAATAAATAACTTTCTCACCAGGTAAATATATATCTAGTCCGCTCTCTCCTAGAAAAATGTTACTTGATGCACTAAATATGTGAGCCAGATTGACTTAAAATATTAGATCTTTGAGAACGGAAATATTAAAGTAACCACTAGAGCAGTGTGCATTATGCAACAACTGGATATGCCTTAGAGAGTTGAGAAAATATGTAATATGGGTAGAACCTAAGAAACGTAAGACCTGTTGTTTGACAATGAGTGAGTTTAAAGCAGACTATCGCATTATCATCTCAGGCATAAGTTTATGAGCATCTTACAAATATGGAATAAAGCGGTGACGGGCTCTGAAACCTCAAACCAGTTGTCGTTCTGAATAACCCAAGACAGCTTTATAGAGCAGTGAGATCCATTTATGAGTGGGGGATTTCTATAGACGAGCTGAATTCATAAGAGCAAGGAGACAACTGAAGATGAACTGAAAAGAATGACAGACAGAGAGGCAACATAAAAATGTCTTCGTAGAAACGTTAAGTAGTCAAATATACATGAACATATCTCCGTGGGATTTAATTAAGAAGCTGGCGTCAGGAGGGAGAGCTGGACAAGCAACATTTAACAGGAGACAGACGTTGGAATGGGATATATGTAGACTGTGAAAGGGTGGTCGTCCATTAAGTAGAAGATCAACTTTGATAAGGTTTTAATGGTTTCGCAGTGGGAGGTAGGCGTTAGGGAAATAAACAGTCAGAATGATGGGAAAGCTGGTGTGGTTAAAACAATTGAAGGCGTCTATTAAGGAATGTTTAAACACGGCCACTGAGGAATGCTGCTGCAATATGGTCAGCAAGCAAGATGCAAACATTAAGGAGATATACAGGAGGTATATGCGTATCTACAAATAAATGTACACAACTCTCTGCTAAGGCCAGAGTTCAGGTCAGTGGAAAGGTTAGGGTCATTCAGGTGTTAGGGTCAGAGTTAGGGCATGGGCCACGGTCAGACTCGAATATCCTGGAGTTTAAACTGTGTAAGCATAGAACCATAATCTGTTATTGTCTTTAAGGTCTTGTTAGTTTATTGTTTCAATACATAATATAATAAATTAATTTACTGACAAGCAGGCGTAGCATATGAAATAAGCAGTCAAAGAGGTTCTTCATAACACTTTCTAATCAAACGCATTATGCGAGAGAGAGAGATAGAGAGAGAGAGAGAGAGAGAGAGAGAGATAGATAGAGAGATAGATAGAGAGAGAGAGAGAGAGAGAGAGAGAGAGAGAGAGAGAGAGAGAGAGAGAGAGAGAGAGAGAGAGAAGGGGAGAAAGGAAGAGGGCAAATGCAGTGGGTGAGTGGCGGAGAAAGCGAAAGAACTAACTTTATTTTTCAAAGGGTCACAAATAATGCGCACAGGCGCATTTTATATTCGGTCTTTTCCAACACTCATCTTTCACGAGAGAACGAACGAGCGCACAATTCCATCTCACATTCGGAGATAGAGAGAGGACGGGAGAGAGAAAGAGAGAGGGAGTGCAAGACACACACACGCACACACACAAACACAAACACACAGAGAAAGATATAGAGAGTACATTTCGAGGTAAATCATATGTTGGTCTCTTATTCTACACACCGGTACATACTAGCTCACTTCTGATTGGTCGGCTTTGAGACACACGACTTCAGACAAGGTCACGGGGGTGTTTCCCAATGCCGCTGATAACGCGTGTTCTATACTTCACCATGCCAGCGCTTTTAACACCACAAAAACATTTAGAAACTGGGTCTAACACACAAATCCCCCTAGAGAGTGCTGCAACCTGTGTCACAGGCAGTCTCTTTCTCGAAATAACAAGGTAAATGCCAGACAACAGCAGAGTGCCACACCCATAATCTCGACCACGGTAGACTAGTCCAACAAATTTATCAATGGATTGTGACCTTCTTTCCGAGGAGAGACTAACGTTTGTTTAAATTATTTCGAGTACAGATTTGTACACAAATAGCCTTAGGATGTACATCGCCTTTAAATGTTGTACATACAGGCGAGTTGAACATCAGGGAGAACTGGCTCATAAACAGCATCCTGTTCCGAAAGTGGAAGTATTTTGGCCACATCAAGTGTCATGGTGGCTTGGAAAAGATGGAAGGTGCAGTTTGTGGAAGGCGAGGCAGGGGTCGACCACCGCGAAGATGGATACAAGACATTAAAGATGCATTGGCATTGAAAGCACATGGGGCTGGAGAGCTGGCTAGAGAAAGGGATACTTTTAGGCGTGCCGGGAAGAGAGCGACGTTCTGTAAAGGACTTGCTGATTGATGATGAACATACAGACAGCAGTGACAGTGACAGTTTATTGAAATTATTAACAGAAGAAATTGTAAGAATATTTATGAAGCCGTTGAATGACTTTTACCAGGGGTAGCATCGTTCCAGTGTGATGCCGATAAAGTGTGTTGGCGCGGACAGCCGGACATCACTGGCTGTGCTTCACCAAAACTGCAGCAGATACTCAGACAGGTAAGTAATTACAGATTCTTTTTTACACTTTTAGGCTCTTCAGGAATGTGGGTAGAGCACGCATATTTTTACAGACTAATCGGCACTAGGTGTGTAATGTGGTCAGCATTATGCCGATCGTCTTTACTTCCCCAGGACATACATCCTAGTATCCGTTTAAGGCTGGGTCGACCTTCGACACCCTATACCACGATAAAAATCTACACAGCCAGCAAAGGTTTGGATTAAGTTGGAATTACGTGTCGGACTCGCAACGCCTAAGCCGCAAACGCTTTTTGTGTAAAAGGTGTGTTCGACATATTCTTCTGCAGGTTGTCTTGGCAACAGGACTTACCCGTTTAGGACTGCAGGTTACACGCAGACAGGTCTGTTAACAAACTCTTTTGCATGTCCTCTTAGACAACAGAATTACCCGTATGGGAGTTACCCTAGGACAGGTCAGTTCAACATATTCTTCTGCGTGTCGTTTTGGGCCTTTTATTTAATCAGAAAGACTTTGGGAACGACACCTTGTACTACATTCATCGAACAACATCAAATCAAGTGGTTTAGCCAAATACCATAACAGGCAATACATCTAAGGGTTCTTTTTACTTTTTTTCGGTCCAGAAAGAGAGTGACTTTCCTTGCCATTCATGCCTTGTCGGGTCGCAGGACCTCTTCTACGTTTCCTTATTACCAGCGCTTTAACCGTTTCCTCTTTTCTTGTCTTCTCGCCGCTTGAGTGATTATTTTCATATACTGCTGCCTGCACGAAGTTCGGAAGTATGGAAACAGCGATACTTTTTCTATGTCTTCATTCTTTGTAAGTGCGTTCTTTCTCTCGGGGTAAACAAAAAGGGTGGGAAAGGGGGGGGGGGAGAGGGCGCCTTTAAGAAACGTAAAAAAACAAAAACATCCCAGTTTTGATACTCAAAAATTGTCGCGCCTTTGTCGCTCTCCCCTGCGGTACTTCTTACTTGTACACCGGCACCTGCGCTGCCTGAAATAGACTCCCTGAAACAGACTCACTACATCACAACCTCCGACAAACATTATATACGCCGGGCGAACGCCAAACCAAGCCACATCATAACACCCCTGCAACATAGGACAGCTCCTTCGATTTGACGAGGAATAAATGACAAAGGAAGTCACTCTCATTCTGGGCCAGGAAACGTAGAATGAACCCATCTCAGATGATCAGTTACAAGAGCATGAGGACAGCCACCAAAATAGGGATCGACAACATTAGAGACACTTTAAGTTTTCACGATATGGCAATAGCTAGTGCCAGTCAGCGGGCAGGCACTTGGTCGAAAATAGTTCCTCCCAACGCCACTAAACGGCAGAAGTGGTGTATGATGCTGACTTTATCTGACATCCATTTTAGACTGGATCGACCTGGGAGACAAGGCCATTTTTGAAATAAAAGTCCAGCTCTGTCAGGACCTGAACCAGCGACTTGCAGATCCGCAGGCGGGCATCTAGCGTCTACACCACAGCGGCTATTTTTTATAATTTCAATTTATTAAAATGTAAGTGAATTACAATGAGATGTCAACTGCTTTGGTCTGAAGGTGGAGGAGATCCCTAACAAAGAAGTGACAGCCGCTCCTCCAACTATAGAGCAATCTGTAGATCTGTCCAACCAGCTGGTCCGAGTGGCAGAATCTGAAGACACCACGGTAGAAGATGTCATTGTGGCGTCAAGGGTCATCACAACGCTAACCCAAGTGGAGACAACCGAAGCTCAAGATGAGAATCAAGTGGAGGCTCTTGTGCTTGTGAGTACAGCATGTGCTTTATGTCAGTTTGTGGTTAAAGTTAGGTTAATCTCCCCAAATAGAGTAGATTACTTTTCATTCACAAGTTGTTTGGGCTGGTCGACTTAACTGAACGTTACGGGTGTGTCCCGCTCTGTTGTTTGCTTTCTGTGTTGTCTTGCATATATGTTTTCACTCCAAAAAAGAGAATGCCGGTGACATAGGTTGCAGCACTGTCTAGGAGGTTGTGTTAGGGCCAGTTACTCCATGTTTTTAGAGTGTTAAAAGCACTGGCGTGCTGAAATATCCAACACGCGATTTCAGCGGTAACGAGGAACATCCCTCTAACCCTTGCTTTCTTTTTCTGGCCCTATTCACGTTCCCCGGCTCATTTACACACTGGCTGACATTGCATTCATACTTTCTCAGACTGTTCTACGTCAGAAGGGTGTCACGTTGTCTTGTCTCCAATTATATCAGCGCTGATGTTGCGTGTTCTATACTACACGACGACACAGCTTTTAACGATCCCAGAACATCTAGAACTGGCCCTAACTCAACTCCCCCCCCCCCCTTGCCCACAACCTGAGCCTAGGTCCTACGAGAGACTCTTTTTGAAGAAACCAGTACAACGTGACAGCCCTCCGACCTAGACCCGACTAAGAAAGTGTGTAGATGGGCCGGCAAACGTGAATAGGACCCGTTTTCTCTCTCCGCCCCCACCCTCTTCCTCCTTGCCACCCCCTTTTCTAAATGCCCTTTTGCTGTTGTTTTTTTTTTTAATTTTATGTGAGTCGTGCTAGTATACTGGCTACAAAGTTGTCTGCCGGTGCGAAGGTCATGAGTTCGTTACGTTTTGTGTTATTTTGTTTTTGTTTTCTTCTCTTTTCTTTTTTGTACCATTTTGTGGTTGCTGTTTTGTGTGTTATTGCTGAACACTGAGTAGTGGTAGTATGCTGGTTAAACGGCAGTCTGTCAGTTCTAACGTTATGGGTTCCAATCCGCACTAAGCAGATTTGACCTTGCCTTCCCGGTCGACCCAGCTTGAAATGGGTACCAGAAAAAGTGATGGGAAGTAATGGCGGCCGGCGTTAAGTTAATCATATCACCCATCGAGTGCCAGCTGGTCTACAAAAGAATGAAGCTAGCATCTAAACTATCTTGGATATGCCCAACGGGACACAGGCGGGTAAAAGGACACGAAAGAGCTGGCAGACTGGCCGTGTCTGCTGTGGCTGACAGAGAGAGAAGTGCGGATAGGATGCTGCATGCCAGAGACGTTGAGACAGAGAAGTCATCAACAGGTTCTACTATTGACCCCGGCAAGACATCGCGAAATCCGCGGCTGACCGCGGCGCAGCAAGTGCATTACCATAAAGCTAATTCGTAACCCTAACAAAATAAATGAAATTTTTATTATTCCTTATCAGTAATCTTAATCAAACAGGTGTATAAAATAGTTCATTTAAATACACTTTAACTTACAGATTTGCTTACATTTGTAACATTGTTCTGAACAAACTATCAAATATTATTTTATTAAGTTAATAATAATTATTAAGTTATTATTGAAGAAAAACGGCACTGTAAGCTCGTATGTGTTCTTGTGACAGAGAGTTGAGTTGAGCTGAGTTAAGTTGAGTCAAGGCAAGAACTGACATCACAGTACTCGGGGCATTCCCATGCGTGCTCCATTCTCATCTTAAGCAGCCAGCGCAGAGTTTCAATACTGATGGTACGGGTCACAATCTGGTTATATGACCGTCTTGCCTTTCCTCTGAGTGAAGTGAGGCGGCCAGACCCTCTGGTTACACCTAGGTGCCTCATTCTCTCCAGGCTATAAAAATCTTGTTTCTCTGCTGATTACGTTGCTTGTTCCCAAAGTTTATACCCTAGCATAGATTCATATTTTGAGAATGAGCGCTCTACACCAACAGAAGAGAGTCGCCGGGCAAAGTAAACTATATATATAATGTTTTGATCGGTATTCGTAGAGAGAAGTAGATAAAGTAAACTCTGCGAGAGATAAGTCTATCCTCTAAGGCACACCATAAAGCAATGATATCCGCCAGAATTACTTCCCGAGATGCTATGTTTAGATAAGCTTACCATTTTTTCGCGGCAGCCATCATTGACCGTACAGATTGTGCATGATCGGCAAAATTCTTTGACAAATAGATAAAAGATGTTGGAGAGCAATTACATAACGGGAAAGAAATGTATGATTTATGGCTGTCTATTAGCAGTCAAGTAGGCTTTTGACAGCCAAAGTTTAAAGATGGCAGGCTTAAATAAAACCACATGTCGAAATATCTGTTGTGGGGCTGAAGTACTAAATTATCACAGACATGATGTAGTAGTCATTTCTATCTAGTGGGAATGTTGAGACTGTGGTGAATATTTGTCGTCACATTTCGTCTTTCTGGAGGGCGCTAGTGTTATACTGGACTATAGTTTGCATTAGAATCACAGCCCATAACATAAGAAGAAAAAGAAGAAAGAAGAAGAGGAAGAAGAAACAGAAGAAGAAGAAGAAGAAGAAGAAGAAGAAGAAGAAGAAGAAGAAGAAGAAGAAGAAGAAGAAGAAGAAGAAGAAGAAGAAGAAGAAAAAGAAGAAGAGGAAGAATAAGAATAAGAAGAACAACAACATCAACAACAACATCATCATCAACAACAACAACGACAAAAACAAAAACAACAAGGTAAATCTTCTTCTCTAAGTTCACATTATTTCCCATTTATATGTTTCTCACTGTATTAAAATGTTCTGAAATACTGCCCAATAACTGACATTTCTATGTACTACATTTGTTTAAATTGCCAATTTATGTCATCCGACAGAATGTGGTACAGACCGGAAGTAATTTTGTGTCCACAAATAAATCTGCAATGTGGGAGAGAATGACCAATGAGGACAAAGTTCGGTCTGCGTCCACGCTAATGGTTGCTATTGAGACTGCAACTGTTACTATGGCGGAAAAGATAGATAAGCCAACTGTTATCAAGAAAACTGATGAAAATATAGGTGAGTTGAGTTAAGTTGAGTTGCATTAACAATTGACATCACAGCACCCGGGGTATTCTCATACGCGCTCCATTCCAATTCTCAGCAGCCAGCGCACACAGTTCCAATACTAATGGTATCAGTCGTAGTCTGGTTGGATATCCGTCTTGCCTTTCCTCTGAGCGTAGTGTGCCACCTGAACCCTCTGGTCACACCTATGTGTTTCATTCTCTCCAGCCCATAATAATCTAGTTTTTTTTCCTATTTCATTACTTGTTATTAAAGGGCTTTTACCACAACTGCCTTGTCATGAATCAATTCATCACCCAGCGGTGTAGATCCAGCCAGTCTGCCTGTTCTTTCCCCACCAGGCCGGCATGACCTGGATAAAAGACCAAAATATGCTCACTACCCCTAACCTTGCAAGTGAAGCTTGCCACTCTGCTCGAAGCAATCGTGTCTACACCTTTTTCAGCATACTTTCAAAGTCCGGTACAATTACGAAATGTGTATGTATCTTGTTCTCTAGCCATCAGCAAACTTCAGGGACCGTCTCCACCTCCATTCTCATGCTAGATGTCGTGGTATCATATGCTAGGCTGTCATGTACTATAGATTTTCCATTGGCTTTTGCTACGAAACCCCAGACACTTCTCTTTCTTCTAAATATAGAACCATCTGTGTAGATAATCAGATCATCAAGGGGAGAATTGCCGTGAATCACGACTTCCAGCTATGTAGCTCCCGTTGGCCACTCTCTGCACTACCGGCCTAATGTTACCAGGACCCTACACAGGTGAGACGTTTTCTCTGGTAGTCAGACCTGCTCCTCTCCTCGCCCAATGATCTCCAGCATGCATACTTGTCTTATTGTGTCTTCTGTTTGAGCCATCTATGATTTTCCCCTTTTCAGCCTCTGACGTTTAACTGCATCCAAAGCTTCATACAGAGTGTGCTTTTTATCTGCAGCTACTCTGAGGTATGACTTAGCCTGCAGCACCTTTAGCTTATCTGCAATAGTCGGCAATGCAAGGATGTATCGCATACACATAATTGTGTGTCTCTTGTACATCCCAGGATCCCCCGCTTAGCTTATTCTGTATGCGCTTCAGTTTCTCTGGTTGACTCTTCGAGACAGTAAGCAGACCCAGTCCATATTCAATCACCGAGATAATTAAGTGCTGGGTATAGTGTAAACAACATTCTTTGCTCCATGTCCACTGCTGCCATAATCTTTAGTGCATTAGGACATTTTTGGGCCTCTATGTGATCCTTAAAAGACAAGCTTCTGTCGAAGGTGATTCCCAGGTACGGCAGTCTGCTGTCTCTCTTGATGTACCTGCAATTTATTTGGAACATCAGCTCTAACAATCCTGTTGTCCAAAGAACACCACAGGTTGGTTGCCTTTTCTGGGTTGATTACAGCACTCATCTCTGTACACCAGTTGATCACCTTATCTACTGTTGCCTGTAACTCTTGAGCAATTTGATTTCGATCTCTCCCCTGCCTTTATGCGAGAATATCATCTGTGAATGTAAGTATTCTTCAAACTCCAGGTGTTTCCAGTTCCACAGTCTTGCCCCTAAAAACATTGAACAGCACAGCTAAAATTTCAGATCCCTGTGGCAGTCCCGGGGCTATAATACGTGGTTGGGATGTCCATGAACCCAGGCGGAGAACTACCCGACGAGAATACAAAGCAGCTGCTATCGAGTTGTTCAAGAAACCAAAGACATATTCTCTTTTCCATAAGCGCTGTCATCAAGATATTTGACTATCGTAAGCATCTTCTAAATCAAGTGCTGCTACCACCGTTTTCTGTCTGTTCTGGAAACCTTCGAAGGTGTCACAGGCAAAAGTAGCTGCATTTGACCATGTGTCCTTCCCTGACCCGTAACTTCAAAAAACCCCTGTGAGGAGCTTTCTCTGTTCCAAAAATCCTTGTAGCTTACCCGCCACTATCTTCTCCAGCACTTTACCAAACATGTTTTGTAAGGTTATGATCCTAAAGCCGATGAGTGTTGAATCATCATTGCCAGGCTTAGGAAGTTGAATCAGGTAGCTGTGCATCCACTCTTGTGGAACCGAAGCCGTCTGTCATAATTCTCTGGTTGAAACAGGCAGTCATCTCGAACAGGTCTGCATCACTTATAATCCTAATATGGGAATATATGACCCCGTCAAGTCCAGGTACAGTGTCTTTCACCCATTTTCAGAACATGTTTCACATCTTCCACCTGTATGTCTTCATACTGTTTATTCTTTACAGCGGTTGATAGATCCTCTCTAACTGCATCTCTGATGTTTCCATCACTGTGGTATGTCTGTGAAATGAAACTATCCAAGAAAGCCTCACTCTTCTCTCTGTCTGTAGTCAATAGCAAGCTATCGTCTCTATGAAATGTTCCCACAAAGCTTGGCCGATCTTTCTTAAACACCTGTCCATGTAGCTTCAAAAATATCGCTCCCAATTTCACTAATAAAATGTTCCCATTTTGCTTATGGTGTGGCCTCTGCTGCACAACGCTAGAAAACTTCTATCCATCTTTCTTATCTCTTTTCGCGCACTCCAATTCCTCCCTTGAGCTTAGTGATGTTTGTCGCACTTTCTTTGATCGCTTTACTGCAGCTCTCTTTAACTTCCATGCCTGTTCTACCTCTGATGTCCAACATGGAGGCTGCTCAGAAGTAGATATGTCATTCCTCTTCCTTGCCCTCTGTCGGAGGCCGACAATATAGGTATTATTTATCGCGTTTATAAGTCTCTCTCTCTCTCTCTCTCTCTCTCTCTCTCTCTCTCTCTCTCTCTCTCTCTCTCGCTCTTCCAATCGTGTATGCATGTGCGCATATATATATGTGTGTATGTTTGTGTGTAAGTGTATATGTATGTATGCATATACTACCCGTGCTTTTGAGTAATTTTTCTTTAAACTCATATATGTTCACTCTTAGATAAATATTACACGCTTTACAGGTGTGTCTGCAAGAGTTGAATGTAAAACTTGTCTGCATGCCAAATGTGTTACCTTTTGACAAAAATCTGTTCATTTTCTCTTCTCCTCCTTCTCTCTCTCTCTCTCTCTCTCTCTCTCTCTCTCTCTCTCTCTCTCTCTCTCTCTCTCTCTCACTCACTGTTGGTTTGTTCTTACCCGACTATTCAACACATGCTATTTCTATCACGTTGAGATCTCCCTCCCCCTCCCTCGCTTTCACCATATCTCTCTTAACCTGTCCTTATCGCGCTCTCTCACTCTCCTCCACTCTCCATCTGCATATCGATGTCTCTTTCACTCTCTTTCCCTACTGCGGTTGTTATTCCCCCTTCCTTCCTTACTGCAAAATGTGAATTAGCCAATTAAATAATAGCACGATTTGGTACCACAAGTGTCACCAAAGTCTAACTTCCTATGAAGAGGTTCTTAATCGGAAGCAGATGCACGTGGTTTTTCATAAGTGGAAATGGAACTACAAAATGTGGTAAGGAAAGTAAAGGTCCCTTTTTCACGCCTTTAGACGTATAGGGCATATAGGGCTAGACCTAAATTTTATAGACCAATTGGCACAAGACGGATGATGTGGTCACCATCACGCCGGCCGCCTTTACTTCCCGGGACTGCACCCGGTACACATTCAAGGTCATTTTTGAAATAAGTCCGCTCCACCAGGGAGCGAACCCACGACCTTCCGATCCGCCTGCGAGCGTCTAGCCGCTCCGCCACAGCGACTCCCTACCAAATGTGGTAATAAATTTATATTTTTCAGTTTTACTATTCTATAACAAATTTACGTCGCAGGTCGACCCAGCCTAAAATGGGTACCAGGATGGGCTGTCCTGGGAAAGTAAAGACAGCCGGCGTAATGCTGACCACATTACCCACAGAGTGCTGATGGTCTGTAAAACTATGGGACGCTCTGCCCATATGCCCGATGCGCCGAAAGGCGTGAAAAGGGAACTTTACTTACTTTACTATAACAAATTTATATTTATTGGGTGAAATATTTCTCACTGCTAAACTATCACTCACCAGAGCTAGAACTGCGTGTTGTTGACACCAAGGTCCTGGAGAAGGAGAAGAAGAATGAACTTGTCTATGACTCCAGCAACTATGACAGCTCTTTCTCTATTCCCATTGAAACTCTGAAGAGTGTTAGTAAAGGTAAGTCACATTTCTCTAAAATGTCATGAACATCATGTGCTCATTGAATTTCTTACATATTTTATCACCCATGCTTTTGTTTTTGAATTGATATTCATAATATGCATATTATTACATGAACATAACATGCTTTATTAATGAAATACAACTGCTGTGTGAAAGATGGGAGCTTGGAAGGGCCGAATGTAAGACAGGCCTGTGTACCTAATTTCTAACCCATTGGAAAAAAAGTTTGTTCGTTCGTTCGTTCTTCAGCGTGGCTCCTTGTGGCAGCTGGTACCAGGCACTTGTTGTGGGATGTGGTTAACGTCATGCCGGCCGTCTTTACTTCCCAGGTACCTAGTACCTATTAAAGGCTGGGTTGCCTGGCTGATAATATAATAATATAATGACAGATAATACATTATATTAATTTTGAATTGGGAACCGACGTCACAGAACTTGGAACGTCCTTATTACAGCTTCGTTCTCATCTTATCAGCCAAAACAGATTTCAGAAATAATTTTAAGTGTTCAATTAATTACCAGACCTTCCTTTCCCGTGCACATAGAGTGTCTGCCAGATCTATCAGAGAGAGAGAGAGAGAGAGAGAGAGAGAGAGAGAGAGAGAGAGAGAGAGAGAGAGAGAGAGAGATAGAGAGAGAGTAGATATTTCAGAGGGGTGATTTGCCCCATAGTCATTTGCTTTAAACCTTTATGGGACCCAAAAGTCAGGTTCTTTGACTGCCAAAACAAGCTGTCAGCCAGTGCTAATTGTTAATCTTTCTGTAAGATTTTTCTCTTTTCTACATCACTAGAGTGTATACGTATCTGCTCCAATATACCCTTTTAACCTGATCAATTAACGGTTCCCCCCCCCCCCCTTACCCTGACAACGCTGAGTGTCTGTCAGAACTATCAGGAAAGGGAGGGTGGAGAAGGTGAAAGAGGGGGAGGGGCGGAAAGGGGAGCGGGGAAGAGCTGCATTTTCTCCAGACAAAAATTATGTATTCTAAATATTTGAATACAGGGTGTTTGCTGAGTACTGATTGATACAGTCGTTGCCTGTGGCTTAGGCGTTGCGAACGCGCTTCGCAATGCCGGGGTGACGGGTTCGATCCCAGCTGTGGACTCTACGCCTTGCGTTGGTTTCGACAGTGGTATCGAGAAGCTGATCGTCCAGTAAGCAGTGGCAAACTACTGGACGTAAATTTGCCTAGAAAAACCAGAACAGCTGGAATAAAATGGTGGGGTTGGTTCTGCAACGTCATGTAAAGGATACGCAACTAACTGATTGATACGAAATGTTAATGTGAAAAGACATAGTAACAAATCCTCAAGTTTTCAGTACCACATACTACAAAATATGTACATTATTTATATTTGACAGGTGTACTGGCCAAAGCTGTCTTCATGACTCACTATTCCATGTCTGGTCTGCTGGGAGGGCGCACACAGAGGCGGACCTTCACAGGAAAATATGAGACATCCCAAACTGGGACTGCAGAAAGCAACAGCACTGCTAATGCGGGTGTTGATGTTGGCTTGCACGAGACTGGAGGGGATACAAGTAAAGATTCAAAAGGTCCTCAGATTGTTAGCTACATCTTGAGCGCTTCACTTGGTGCAGACAGAATAATCCAGAAGCTGCCCAAGCCGATCTCTTTTACCATGAGGCATATCGAGGTAGGTCCTGATGCCTCTAGTGTGCGTGTGTGAGCCAATCTCTTTTACCATGAGGCATATCGAGGTAGGTCCTGATGCCTCTAGTGTGCGTGTGTGAGCCAATCTCTTTTACCATGAGGCATATCGAGGTAGGTCCTGATGCCTCTAGTGTGCGTGTGTGAGCCAATCTCTTTTACCATGAGGCATATCGAGGTAGGTCCTGATGCCTCTAGTGTGCGTGTGTGAGCCAATCTCTTTTACCATGAGGCATATCGAGGTAGGTCCTGATCCCTCTAGTGTGCGTGTGTGAGTTTGTATGTGTGTGTGCGTGCGTGCTCGTGTGTGTGTGTGTGTGTGTACAAGATGAAAAGAGAGAGATAGAGAGAGAGAGAGAGAGAGAATATGTGTATGTTGATGTTACTAGGGAGATACAATAAACATCATTTAAGTCGTGTGTCTGTATGTGTGTTTTTGTATATCAAGGTGAGTATTTACGAATCACTGGTGTTGTCTATTTTCTTATATGGATGTGAGAGTTGGACTCTCACTGTGGAGATGGAAAGGAGGATTCAGGCTTTCAGATGTAAATGCTACCGTAGCAT